ACTGGCACTCCCATACAGGGCAATCAGGTTTAATTAGCAAGAGACACCCAGGCGTGATCCTCCCTCACTCATTTTCCTGGACGTGACACGGCATCAACAGCCGAGCAGAAGCCGTCACCCTCTGCCGGACAGCCCTGGGTTTGGAACGTCACTCACTGGCTCCATGTCCCCCCCCCCCCCCTACGGCTTTTCATTCCTCATTTTCATTATTAAAGCAGTAGCCTTTAAATCTACATGCTAGCCCACTTAGTTCCCAGAGCTAGGAGTGAAGCTTTTCATTTTGGCCTGAATGCAAAATATCGTGCAGATTTATTTTTTGATATATAGTTTTTTCGTTTTATTTCAAATATTCCTATAGCTTGTTTAGTATTTTATTCATCTTGCAAACAGTGTTTTCTATGCTTTATCATGCTTATAAATCATGTATTATTTGCAATGAGCTTCTGAGCAAAACAATGAAAATGTAAATAAATGCAAATATAGCCCCATAGTGAGACAATGCAAAAGGTTGTTGTATAATCAGTTTGAGTCTATTACTTATAACTCAGTAAGCACAACATAACATGGAGCTATCTTTAAAAGAAAAAACAAACGTACGTCTATTAACAAAATACATTATTAAATCATATTTATTTTGTAAAAGTTAAATAATGAACATTATTAAATAGAAATACAGCAAAGACTGTGAGACTCACATAGTCTGGAAGTGCGGCGTTGCCTTCTGAGCCCATCGGACCTCTCAGGGACTGCGTGGCCTGCTCCAGAACCTTATTGTGCTTTTTGGACAACAGTGCAAACAGGCTGACAAGAGAAGGAGGGAGAAAGGACATGCATGAGCATCTGATTCATAATCAAGTCAGATCAGTATGTTATTTTAAAAAAGAAGAAAAAGAAATACCTCTAATACTGTAAAGATCCAAAACAATATAAGTATGTAAAATATATATGTTTATATATGGTGCTTTTCCACTGGCATATTGGGAACCGACCCGTACCTGAGCCGTACTGCGAAGAGAGACTAGTTACTGCATGGTTCTGGCTCGCTTTGGCTTTCCACTGCAGAAGGGTCGGCTCGGTCAAGGCGTTGCCGGGTTTGGAAAGCGACAGTGACGTAAAACCAGAGATGCTTATTTACTGTTCACACGGTGTACATCATGATATACTGTGTGCTAATTACCACTAGCATGTCTGTGGGAATTGCTGTGTTATGCTACCACAAAATGCTACTGGAATTAGCATTCGCTTGTGTAAATTTGCATTATGAATCCATTCTGTTTGGCAGTTCCATAGTACTGCATGAAGTAGGAGTTTGGAAATGTTCAAATTCTGACTTACTGGGAATGCACCAGCACGTTGTGATGTGCTAGACTACTAATAAATAATATATAGAATATATGCTTCAGATAATCCATGCATATTGATGCAGATCACCAGTATTCCTATGCATTTCGACCAATCAGATGGTGGTGGCACAACCAGCTTGGCTTGGTCACACTTTCCAGGTCAGCGCAGGTACGGCTCAGGTATGGCTTGGGTGCAGCTTGTACACTTTACAAAGAAAAACCACCAGTTTGCGGTACACTTTGGGTACGGCTCGGTCCTTGGTGGCAGTGGAAAAGCGGCCATATTTTACTATACAATTACTGACGTTCTTTAAGATATAATTCTGTCCGTTTGGGATCTTCGGATCTACTGTGCTCGCAAAGTAAAAACCTATAGAATGTTCTTGAGTCTTAAATGTATGGCTACCTACAGAGCAAGTTCTCTCATGGGGAACAATAGCAATGGAACACAGGCCTCGGATTCACTAAAAAGAATAGTAGCAAAGGGAGAATAAGATCCAAATCAACTCTTTGAACTCTACTGAAATAGACATAAATTTGCATTACTTCAAGGGATTGTATTAAGATAAAACTAAATTAAAGCTTAAGCTTAACCATATTCAAATTTTTTATGTAATTCTTGTTCTAAGTTACAGTATAGCTTTCAGACAGTGAACTATGCACAACGTACAGTGCAAAATAGCTATCGTGCATTTAGCCTTGACTTGCAGGTGCAGGGGTCTTAGTTGTTATTCAGAAAATAGAACACATCCGTCTCAGGTGAAATTAAATCAAATTCACCAAAACTAATTATGGCAGCATATGTATAGAGTTGAACATGTCTTTCACCAGTCATGGAGGACGGCTCACATCCAAAGTGTCAGAGATGATATGGCAGCTGGTTGGGGTAACCCCCACGCAGTGGTAACCCCCACGCAGGGGTAACCCCAACGCAGTGGTAACCCCACTGGCGATTATCATACTGACGATCGATGCAGCACGGCATGCCAGGCAAACGACTCACTGCTCACAAGGAACAAAAAGCCAAGCAAGTGAACCAGGCTGTATGAAGAGTCATAAAAAAAAGAAATGTGTGCTACAGAAAAGCTGTGAGATGTTTACGTTACACATCACTGCTAGACCAACCGTATGCAAATGGCAAAATACTGAACTGCCATGCAGATTTGAAGCTCTCAGTGCATGAGGTCATTTAAAAATCAATGAACATAATGTTTAGGTCCTGGATGATACATTATGATTGTCAATGTATATATGATGAAAACAGACAACTGATACAAAAAAGTAAAATAAAAAAAAAACTAATTAAAATCATTGAGTGCTTAACATTAAATTACTCGTATTTTGATAAAGAAAACTGCTGACCAGAAAGATCAAGTCATCCAGGCCTGTGGCAAACTGGTATCCACAAATAAAGTGGACTACAAAGAACAAGTTAACAAAGTCATAAAACAATTATCGCAACATATGGCCACAGCCGCTAAATCGCGAAGAGGTTATCCACACCTGGCAAGCACACACCTCCACTCCTACCTTCACTCAGCCGACCTTATTTAACCCTAAAAGCTACAGCAGTGTTTCCCAACTGGGTCCTCGAGGACCAACAGACGGCTCACGTCTTTGTTCTGGGTCCCCGAGAACCGGATTGGGAAACACTGAGCTAAATGGTCCTATCAGTGTCAGCTAGACACCAGACAAGACATTCTTAGTACAAACAAAGGAGGCTTAAAAATATGACAAGAATGAAGAAAAATGAAGAACACTAGTCATTCCCTGTTTTAACAGATTAATGTAGAACCTAGGTGTTTTAAGTCTAGAAAAATGTTTCTCTGTGCACGAAACGTCAAAATGGGAAAAAAAAATGCAAATCATACTTCATAGTATTTTGGAACAGTTGCACACAGCTGAAATACATAAAATTAAATACTTTAACAGTTTCCCTGTGTAAAAAAATTGCACAACTGTATTTTAGTGGTAGCTCTAAATTATAACAACTGAAAAGGACGGAAAGACAAATGAAATAAAAACATTAAAAACCTTTAGAAAAGTACAGTTTTTAAACCACAATATACATAATATCCATTCCACAGAACAACTGAACAGATACATTGTATAAATGCTGTGGTTAATTGAATGCAGCATTTCTGAATCCAACCCCTGTAATCTAAACTCAAATCTTTCAAAACTCCATACCTTAATAATCAACGAATCGGCCAGAGTACAGAGATTAAACTGATTGGCATAGAATTCAGCACTGATCTCATTAACCTCTACAGTTGTTGCCTCTAAAGTCATGCCATTAGATGCATCATTGATTAGACATTCTGGGTGTTAAGACAGTACAGTTTTTTGGTATGTTGCTGGGCAGAGTCAGCTGGCTAAAGCTGTAATCAGAGGTGGGTAGTTCAGGTCCAGAGAACAAAAGTCCAGACCAAGATTTTGTTTGTCACAATCACAGTGTGCCCAACTGGTTGTCTGAGACAATATCTTGGTCTGGACTTTTATTCTCTAGACCTGAATTACCTACCTCTGGCTGTAATCCACATCAATCAATTGCATCAAGTGCAATTCTTCAACCACTCTGTCTCAACATACTCCAGTGAACATCAATTATTCTTGCAAATATTGAACTGAAGAGAAACAGCAGATATACTGTTGATATTAATAGAGAAAACAGAACTAAAATGGACTCCGAAGGTGGCTTTTTGGGGACCACCATCAACTTATAAGATTTTCATATCACATCGCACAACACAGCAGCTGGACACATTTGAAAGTAACTATGCAAGGGCTGGTAGAACATCTTAGAAATACAAAATTCTTCATGTCACATTGTTGCATGGACTGTTCGCTAATATATTAGAGACAGATCTGTTCAAATAAAAATACTATACATCTGATACTGCTTTAGGAAAGATTTCTCTCTCTCGATATTGACTAAGTAAAAAAAATCCCTGCATGACGTGTATGAGTCTGAATTTCTGTAAAAGCAAACAGAACAGAGGTTTCAACCCCCGAAATGTTTAGTTCTTTGGGTATCTCACCAGCCCATCTACTCCATACATCCAGCTTAGATGAAGCTCCTTCAAATATCTAAACAATAGATTCAGTTCAGCCTAGTGGGTGCACAGATGGAATAAACTACTCACAAAATCAACAGAATGGACAAAAAAAAAAAAAAATCCCCCTCACTCTGAAGCGGAGAGTAAGGCTGAGTTCCTGTCTCCCTGACAACATAACAGATCATTAAACTTCATGACAGGAATACATTCAATTACTGAACACTGAACTGTTGGCAAAGATGTAAAAATAAACTTAAAAACTTAATGCTCAGCCTAAAGTAAGTCTAAAATACACCTGTAAATGTGTTAAGGCTATTCAAGCGATGAAAAGAGGTGAGGTGGTGGATTCGCTGGGTCATTAAGATTGATTAAGCTGCAAAGTGAGCCTTCATTGAGTGTCACATACACTGGTCATGCTGCTGGGGTTTATGGACCAGCAGAGTAAGCACAGCCCTTAGAAGCGGCAGCAGCAAGTCTCAGCTTTGACGCTTTTCCAACAAATACAAGAAAACCTGGTTAGAAATACAAGCTTTAGAAAAGAGAAAACCTAACATGAAACATAAGGTAGATTCTAACTCTCAATGGGAGGTCATTCGAGACCAAATCATGCGAAATTTAAATGTTTAAAGAATTACAGCAAGAATATTTAATTCATCCACTAAAACATCTTCCATTCTATTCTGGACAGGGTCGCAGGGAAAATCTTTCATCATGTAGTTTTTAATTTCATTATTTTTTTGCGTAATAACGCTCAATTCTATTTGTTTGAAACTGCATAATAAAGTTATGAATCACACGCAACCCAACAGGCACTTTTAAAAACCAGAGCCCTGAACATAATAGAAGAAATTTCACTTCACAAATATTTGTAAAGAAAAACAAAAACTCATTTCCAGACATATTTTCCTCCTTTTCCCCCCTAAACAAACTCTGGTTTTCATGACTTGTGACATAAAAATCACATTATTTCAATCATTGGGCAAATACTCTTTGTGCAACAGCCGGTAACAAAACTTCCAAATGATCCAATGACTCTAATGACCCAAGAAACATAAAACGGGCCAAATCTTAATGAGAAAATTTCTATGATTAAAATATGAAAGTCAGAACATGAGAAAAATGCCAGAGATTAAATCTAATGATAGCAGTATTTATTAACAAATTCCCTGGATACGCTTAATGATGTTGGATTAACAGGCTGATTACTCACTGAATAAACATTTTTTGTAAAACCCAACATCAGAGTAGAAAACTAGTAATCAATTTTGCAGCACTGTTTACATATGGAGAAAGGAACCTGGATTATGTGTCTTGGATGCATAACATTTTGCATATACAGGAAAACAGGCTTAAAAAATAGTAAGACAGATAAACAGAGACAATAACAATAATGATAATA